TTTTCTTCAGCTAAATGTGAATGTGCCTGATAATTTTGGATTAAAAAATATTTTTCTTCTCCCCCTCTAAGTGACAAAGTTAGTAATTTTAAGATCGGCCTTTAGGAAATCTAGAAAGCATTTTGAAATTAGTGGACTCCCTCTTTTTTTTCCTCCTTTACTAATTCCATTTCATTATAATATGAATATTATTAGAAAGGTAAGCCTACAGGATAGTTTTGAGAAATTAATATTGTTTTCAAAAATGATTGTCACACTTCATAGGTTTAATTGTATGTATGTGAGAATGTGAGGGAATGTTGGCTATTTGGTAAGTAAAATACTCTTTCTGTGTGAACTTCTTTCCCTGGTTAAATCTTCACTTAACAGTATGCCTTCTTTTTTGTAACTTTTACACCTCCTTTTAATGTATTTTTAATGAAAATAATTCCTTCATTAAATCCAATGAGTTGGCAATTTCCTCTTGAAAAGATTTTTCACATTTGCAAAGTGATACCAGCTTCGACTCTGGGAATCCATCCCATGTTGGACCAGGGCAGGGAAGAGCCGCTGAGGAGAGAGGACTTTCTGTAGGATGGTTCGGTCCTGCTCAGGGGCTTTGCCAACCTCAACAAATTTTCTAAGAGGAAGCTTTCTTGCCAGCCTCATTGGAACTTGTCAGTGCCCAAGTCATATGAGGTGGTCAAAGGTGAGGTTGGTTCTGTGCTAAGTAGAACAAGCACCCTGTTATTTTTGCAATAGGGAGGCCATTCTGTAGAACTCCAGGTTATGGAAACTTCGGTGTTGCCTTAACCATTTAGAGACTGAAAACCTACAGATACTGGAATCCAGAGGCAAATCCAGAAAGGGACTGGTGCATTGTGCCCTATTTATCCCTCGGCTCCTTTTGGCCAGAATTGCTTTCTGTGGTGTCCAAGGAGGAAGGTTTTCATTCGTGACTCTCAAGAGACTTGTGTGTCCATAGAATCAATTTGTGCATCAGAGTGTTTTTCGCTGGGAGCTTCTTGCCCCCTCCTATGTGTGGTTTTCCTCCTTTCTATCACTTTAATTCAAAATTATCAGGCACATTCTATCATCTGGGAGTTTGGGTGTGCAAATCAATCCCAGGTGATAATGATAAATCTTGAACAACTTATATCTCTTTTCACTAGAAAAAGTACTACTAAATGAGCACCACTAAATAATTTGGGGTGTGTGTGTGTGTATTCTTCTATTTCATTTTCTCTGATTATAAAAGTGGGCTGTACTCATTTTAAAAATTTATAAGATATAAAAAGAATAAAGCCCTCTTATAAGCTTCCTCTCAGTAACAGCCTCAGTTAACATTATGAAATGAGTGCTTACCGTGTGTCTTTGATGCATATTACATTTTATGTAGTTGAAATCAGACTATATACAAATTTTCATTTTATTTTTTAAATATTCACACTTTCTTATGCAATCAACATTTTTGATATATCTAAAAAATTGACTCTAGGACAATAATCATGTTTTCAAAGATACATTGAGTCACAAATTAGATATGTATTTTATGCATTTATTGAATTTTTTAAAATAATAGCAGTGAAAATTGCTGTGGCTAATTATCATATTAACTTCCTTTCAGTGAAGCACTGAGGTACTTGCCTATAAATTTGCAATGCCAACTTTTCTCTGAATAGTAACTGAATTTCTTTTAATGTTTTGTCCTGGGTTTACAATTATTTCTTAACCTTTGGTCACCAACCCTCTGAGAATTCAGTGAAAGCTATGAATCTTCTTCCCAGAGAAATGCATATTCACACCAAAAACTAATTGTAATGATAATCAATTATGATATGCCAGGCACTCTGCCAACTGCTTTACATGTGTTATTTCATGCAATCCGCAAAGCAGCACTATAAGGAATGCACTGTTATCCTCATTTTGGAGATAAAGACATGGAAGGGTAAGGAGATTAATTTTCCCATGGCCATAGAGCTAGGGGAACTTGGGCTCAAACTCTGGTTTTTATGACCCCAGAGCCTATCCCCTAAATCATTGTGCACCTAATTTTAGGGAACTTATAAATTCCTAAAGCCTGCTCATCGATATTCATGTTATAACACCTTACCTATTGCAATCAAAAGATTGTTATTGGCAGTGAAGAGTTTGTGTGATTAATGAATCTTGCTATTTTTGTAACTTATTTATTTAATATATAAGTATTTGATACACATTTACTGTTTTGAATACTTGTTAGGTTCTGTGATAGGTTCTTTATCCTTAAGGAGTTTACTATCGACATGGGATGACAACAATCACACACATAAGACAATGAGAAAAAAATACAAATATCAAGTTGACTATATTGTAATTAGACATTTCCATAAGCTCTACATGAAAATTAATCTTTACTTTGTCATATCTTGATGCAGTTGTCATTCTTTGATTTCTTGATTTATAAAAGGAAAGTCAAATCTAAAAGGCCATTATGTCCTCTGGGAATCTGGAAGATTCAGTATGTCATAAAAATGAGGTCTATAAAGTGAGACTCTGAGAACTAAGTATGTATCTCATCCAGAATCCTGAGGGTTTCATCAGCTTCACCTGTGAGCCCCAGGGAGCATGCCCAATAAGGAGATTCAAGAATGTTTAGCCAGCTCTCAAACCATGCATCGCAGGGTAACTCTTCTGAGTTGCACATGTGTAGGCAGTAGAACATCTTGCTAGAAGCTGCATTTTGACTCGAGTAGGGTTCCTACTGATGGAGAGGACTGCAATACTTCAAATGATGCAGCATAGCCTTGAGTCATGCAGGCGCAGTTGTAATAATCTACCAACCTTGGATGAAAGCACATTGCATGGGAGGCCTATTGAAGCTGACCACCTGCCAATCAAAGCTGTCAAAGAGAGGGGCTGTGGCCATAATTCAAAGGACTGCTTTCTACAGGAGCGTATAATGGGAAAGTTGTACGTGTGACTTCAACAGCTGCTGTATACAAGGTTATCACAGATAATGGCTATTGTAAGATATGAAGGATGGATTATGTCAAGCTTTCTATTAACTGGGCCCTCATCAAGTATTGTACAGTTTTAGAATTTTAGTCTTTTAAAACTTTAATCATTTGGGTTATCCATATGATATAATTAATTTATAAATGACATTTGAATTTTCTTTTCAAAGCAAATAGAAACTTAGTTATGTGAATTGTGGTATATAGTTTGTCTTCTTCATTTATGAATAATTTTTATTTGAAATGTCTAAAATAAGAATCTTTTATGTACATTTGTGCTATATTTTAATCACTTTAATAAGTTGTTTAAAATTTCATGGCACACACTGTTTTCATAATCCCTGCAACTTGACTGGGTAACATTATTTTTTAAAGTTAGGCCAGGATTTTGTGAAAACCTATTATGTCTTAGAAGCCTATAGGTGGAAAATATTTTTTTTAAAATATATTTTATTGATTTTTTACAGAGAAGAAGGGAGAGAGATAGAGAGTTAGAAACATCGATGAGAGAGAAACATCGATCAGCTGCCTCCTGCACATCTCCCACTGGGGATGTGCCCACAACCCAGGTACATGCCCCTGACCGGAATCGAACTCGGGACCCTTCAGTCCGCAGGCCGATGCTCTATCCACTGAGCCAAACCGGTTTTGGCGAAAATATTTTTAATGGACATAAATTTCTATCATTGTTCACACATCGTCATTTGACTATATCCAGTCACTAGTTGTTTGAAGTGATTTTCCAGACAAATATGCAAATATCCCGATGGATTTTATTTAATTTCAAAGGAAAGTATGATATCAACTCTCGATAATTTCTTCAATTCATTCCTGGAGGAAAATATAATTGAAAGGAAAGCATTCCTTTTCATATTTGCTTTGAGCAGATCCTCGAGTTATTTTTGAGATGAGTAGTAGATTGATGTTAATGTCCATCACACTTTGGCTTCACAGAGAGAACTCAAGACATAGTAACTGTCTACCTTTTAAATTTCCTGTGTGTGTGTGTGCATGCGCGCGCACACACACACACACACTCCTGTGTAGGGGGCTTACACAAGACCTTTTGATTTCATAATAAGCAGGCCTAGGGATAATAAAATTTGACATTCTTAACTGTTACTAGTATTTGTCCCTGTAGCCCTGTGCAGTTATCTTCTTGTTAACGATATAGAAGCCAGAGTCATAAACTGAGCATGTACCCAAGGCACTACTGTAAATTGCAAATTGCATTCATGTGGTCTGTTCTTTTTGACCTAAGACTAAATTGGAGTAGAGGAAAGAGAAAAGGAATGTTCGAAAGTGGAATAAGAAGTAGAAGTCAAGAAGAAAAAACTATACTAGAAAGAAGGACATGTGCAAATGTTCTCCAAGTTTCTGTAGAAAGATTTATTTTGATGGGCCTTTCTATATCTGCAAATACCCTTTTGCTCAAAAGCCAAACACTGCATTGGGCGCCTCTGCTGCTGGTGTGTGCGTGTGTGCATGGTGTGTTGGCAATAGTGCACTCATGAGATAATGCAAATAATCAGTAAGGGAATAATTAATGATGTGGCAGGGAATATTTTTTGATAAATGCTTGGGGAATGAGGTGACAGGCGTGAAATTGGAAAATTCCTTCAGCGATCTAAAATATAAATAGCTTTCGGAACTGAAAAGAGTTTCACAGCTGAAGATTTTATTGTGTTGAGAGGAAAAACTTTTTTCTCTCCCCCACTCCCTCCTCCTTTGCAAGTTGTTTGTCCATTCACAAAACAAATACTCTGAAGCCCAGCGCAGCTCATGGGAATAAATTTCAGGTCGAATTAGTACAGTTTCCTTGCTGTCAGGATGCTGGAATTAATGGTGTTTTGATGACACGAATTTTGAAGGGCAAACAAAGAAGCTGAAGGGAGAGAGACATGACTCCTTAGAAGCTTGGTCCTCCTCTCCCCCAGCCTCTCTTGTCTTCCCTGTCATCCGTCTGCCAATCTCCCTGTCCATGGTTAGTTAAAGGCGCTTTTTATCCTCTTTTCTTTCCCACAGAGTTTGCCAGATCCGGCCCGGTGCCTGGGTTCCAGGAGGACACGCTGCAGTTGGCCTTCATCGACTTGAGACAAGTAAGTCTTTGTGTTTTTGTTTTTTGTTTTTCTTTTAAGATGTGTGACTGAAGACCATCAGGTCTTAAGGAAAAAGGGGAGGGACGGGGGATTGGCATTGGCGATTCACACTGGAGACCTAAGGGTTTTTCCTCTGTGTTTGAGGCCACCTCTTTTATTTAGCTATCTGGGATCCTTAGCTATGGTGGAGTTAAAGGTTTTGTGGGTAGAAGGGAAGGCAGGAGGTGGGAGGAGGGACCCAAAGAGTAGAGGGACTCAAGTGACCCTCAAGTGATGCGACCCATTGTGTTATAGTTGGCTTCTGCAGACACAGCAAAAAGATAACTCAGCAAACCAATGCTAAGCAGGTGCACTGATGCAGAGACTGCCTGCCTAGAGAACTTTTGTTTGCAGATAATGAGGGCAGGAGCATTTAAGGAAAATGAAATATTTTACATTCTGGACTGTTGGTTAGGCTTGTTGACTTTTTTCTGTTGCCTTAAGTCTTCCCATCCCCTCCTTTGTAGAAGGTGGTCAGCCATGAGTGACTAAATGGTCATTTTAGAAGATGATTAGCAAAGGCCCTGACCACTCACGCTAACCTGACAGGCAGCCCCATTAAAGTAACATGATGAAAACCTGTCCTTATGCATACCAGAGCTTTGCAAGCCCATCAGACAGAAAAGACTTGCTCTATAGAGCTGTGGCCTGCAGGTTGAAATGGTGGGTAGGCCTTGGTGGTTTGGGTACAGAGGAGCAGGATGGGCGGGGGCCTCAAGAGGGAGAAAATGAACTGGGCTCTGTCATCTCTTCACTCTGAAGATGGATGGGGTTGGATAGAAAGTGTGAATGAAGTAAGAATCAATGACTGATGCTTCTCTCCTATTAAAACAATCTTTTTTTTGGTCTGTTTTAAGAAGGGGGCTGGCTTTGTTTCTCCTGCCATAATGATGCAGTGCCTCTTGTTTTCAGAGCTGACATAGTTTGCATTCTGAAAACTTTTAGATGCCCAGGGTATTTCTTAAAGCTGTATCGGTAGTCTCCTTACCACTGTGACTCGATTCATGCTGGAACAGCTTTTGCCCCATAATGGATGGCTTGAGCTACCCCCGAATCCTTGTGATGGGGTGGTGTAATCTGTCATCTGATGACAATTCTGGAAAGCCCTGTTAAGCAGAAAACAGAAAATTGTGTCTCTATAGATCCGCCAAAGTTTGAGGATTCAGGCCGCGTCCCCGAAACGTGTGTCAACTTAATATTTGAGGGCCGAGGTGGGGGTTCGCTTACACATAAAGGCTTTCTCAGCATGGTCACAAATGGAGCTCAGTATCTCTTTCTACGTTAAGACCTTCCACCTGTGGATTCAGCAACTCAACTGAGACATTAAGGTTTTAACCCGTGGGCTGACATGAGGCTGAGAGATTGGGATTTTGCTTTAGGTTTTTGTGGAGTGGATCTGTTGGACTTTCCCCATTGTTTCTTCTCAGAAACTTCGGAGCCAATCGGCTTTTCTTGGAAAGCAGAAATTGAATTTCATTGGAAAATCGCATCCAAGGAAAAAATGTTTCCCTTCTCACTATTCATGAGAAGGAAGTGTGGTCATTCTCTCTAGTTTGTGGTTTTGGTCCCTATGGACAGCAACTAGTGTTCACAGAAAATGTTAACGAAGGGAATGAGTTAGAGCACAGCCAAAATAAGGCGGATCTGAGCCAGGGAGCAATGTGCACGCACTTGTGAGCTCTCGGTGAGCACTGTTTATGCTGAAGTTTCTGTTTCCTGTCACATTTCTGTTCTCCACACCCTTTTATGATGTTGGAGCAGTAGAACCCTAAACCTCAACATTTTACTAATAAAGAAAGAGTATGTCTTCTGATTGTATCGATCGCCTAATTTCTATTAATGTCTGTCCCCATTAGAGCAGCTTACATTTTTTAACAGGTCATTTGGAAACCTTTCCTAGCTCTCAGGCTGCAGCTCATTATCAGGAGGTCTCAGATAGGTTGAATTATTGTGAGAAAAATTATCCTTCCACACCCGATGCTGAAAATATTGATCTTCTTACAGTTATTTTAGTCATTCTCATAACATATTGAAAGTGAGCATTTTTTTTTTAAAGGAGACAATTATTTTGAACGATAGAGATGTTCAAACTATAAATAGAAAGCTTAGGAGTAGGTTTCCAAAGGAGGTATCTAGACTTCAAATGAGGCATGATTAATGTCTGAATCTGTGTCCTTTGGATGTGCTCTTCGGAATCCTAAAATAGAGTTAAGGAGTTTCGGGGCCGGGGACTAATCTTAAAAATCATGTAGTATCACCTTTGGCTTGATACTTGACTCTCTGGACAGCACCCCAGCTGTGCTTGATTTCCTCCTTGAAGAGAACTCAACTGCCCCAAAGCAGCAGGCCCGCCTTAGGACAGTCTGATTATGAGAAAGATATTTCTTAAGTTGGCTAAACTCTGTCTCACTTAACTTTGACCCTTTGACTCTTCATGTTTTTATTAATAACATTAATAACCTCAAATTGGGGGATGGGCTTTTTATTCTGATTTATTGAACTTTCTATCTTCTAGTAATTGAATCTTTTTCAAATGTAGCATTGTTACCCATTCCTCAGATAGTCCTCATATGGTTGATTTTATGGACCAGAATTGGGGACTTTACTCTCTTTGGTCTATGCTTTTCTTTTAAACATATTAACAACACAGATTTTGAGCATTTTTATTTATTTAGCCTATCTAAACCTTTTAGGTTCTGGTTCCGTATCCACCTTATTAACTGAATAGCATGCCCTTTATAAGTCAAACATAACAATAAACAGGAATGGCAAATGTTAAAAGGAAGAAGTTAGAGTTAGGGTAAGTTATAGGGAGCACGCCCATGCCAGAGGAGGACGTGTTCCCAGTTCAGTGAAGCAGGATGTTCTTTTACTGTCCTTAAGTGTATTTATCTCACTGTTCATGAGTGTGTTCATTCTGAGCATGCTTTCATGTTCTCTTGCTTTACAGTGTTTCAGTCCATCAAGTGGATGATAATTTTTTAAATATTCAAAACCTGGAATATGTGAAGAAATCATCTCATTGTAGATTATAATAGCAGAGTGTCATTTAAAAGCTATAGAATTTTATTAGGAAGCAAATTAGATGTGGATAGCAAAACTATTCATCCTTTCTTGCCTGTCCTGTCTATTCTAATTTTTCTACTTCTTAAGGAAAAGACTGAAATGACATTTTGAATATACAAACTTTCATGATATTTTACATTTGTATAGCACTTCAAAGTTATAGTACATTTCCATATATATCTCATTTGTCAGATCTCTAGGTTTAGAAAACCTGCTGTTAATAATAATGTGAATTAGACAGTGAACATCAAAATCTCCTTCTTTGCCACTTTATACTTTCTATGTTTCCAAGTTCATAAAAGTAGTATTGCAATGCAACTTCATATTCATATACTAAATATAAGTGCATATTTCTATCAAAATCTAAATTTGGATTAATACTAAATCTTGAGAAAGACAACTTAAGGACTCATTTATGAACTATCTTGAAGGAAGGACATGTACACTCCAGCTACTAATACTTACTGGCCTAAAATAATTGGAAATTAAAATAAAAACCAATAGTAGATTCTCAGTAGTTACTTGATTCTTTAACAGTACTATGATTATATTTTTCTCATTAAACATTCAGTAGAATAATGCTGATGAACACCAGAATTTGAACTTCAGTTGATTTCTATTGCAGTTTATCAAATTCTGAGTGACTACTTTGAACAAAACACAGATTATATCACACAACTTAGGTGCTGTGGGAATACACAAATGAATATGATACAGTCCCTGCTCTCCAGGAGCAAAGAGGTGATCAGCAAATACTAGACTCTAATATAAGATGCATTGCGATAAGTATGACATTGGAAGGATGAAGTCATTATGTATGTTTCAATTATATTTGCAGCTTTTGCTGCATAACACTTCACTCCAAAATGTATTGGTTTAAAACAAGAACCATTTATTTAGCTCAAGTTTCTATGGATTGGCAGTTTTCAATAGGTTCAGCTGAGCTCACTCAGGCTTTGGGGTAAGTTTGCTAGGTTGGCTGGGGACTGCCTGGTCTAGAATGCCTTGGCTAGGCCCGCTCTTCTCTGCTCCATGTGGTCTCTCACCCAGACGCAGCCTAACCCAGGCTTATTCACATTCATCTTGGCACATATCCAAGAGAGCAAGAGGAAATGTGCCTTGAGGCCTATACTTGGGACTAGCAAACCATCTATTCTATTGGCTAGAGCTAGTTACAAGGCCAGCCCAAATCAAGGAATGTAGAAACAGATTCCAACTTAACACTTCAGTTGGGATATAAGACTTTCATATAAATGATGCAAAATAAGCAATGTAAGTCAAGAGTGAGATTATATCTATAGGTACCAAAAGAAGCTATAAAATGAAGAGGTTTTATAAAATATTGCATGGAAAAGGTGGAGAGTTAAACTGAGGGTTAGGCAGAAGGTATTTCAAGCATAGAAAGTAGCTGGTTTTAAGTTTTGTTTAAAATGTGTGTGTGTGTGTGTGTGTGTGTGTACGTGTTAACACCAGTTTTAACTGAATATACAAATAAGATATGCATATGTTGTTGAAATAAGTTACATGGTGTTTATCTATTTATAAAAATATGCTATCTGAAAGTTTGGAAAATACAGAAATATTCAAACAAGAGAAAAAATATTTTTTTCAATTTCTTTACCTGTATATAAGTTTATACAAAATCAGGTTTCTACTGTATGTATAATATTTTAAACCTGATTTTTATTTATATAGCATTATTAGACTGTGAGATTTCCAATGACCTTAATTATTTTAGAACATATTTATAATGTAAATATTTTTATAATATTGGGATGGAACATTCACCTGGTTCATGATCAAAAAATATAACAGGGCCGAGGCTGGTTTGGCTCAGTGGATAGGGCGTCGGCCTGCGGACTGAAAGGTCCTGGGTTCGATTCCGGTCAAGGGCA